CCAGTCTGAGTAACTACCTTCGTCCTCTGGCAAGGAATTTCACTTATTCCACATGTTCTGACTTTGGTCATTGTTTTACAACTGCACTAACAAGGAGGTTGGGCAACTCAGTTGGCTGAACAGCTCGTTTGCAATGCAGAGTAATGCCAAGAGCATGGGTTCAATTCCTGCATTGGCTAAATTTACCATGAGGGACACCCCTTCTCAACCTCTTCCTCAGGTTAAACCACTCTGGTAGGACTCTGGTGACTTCACTTTAGTGCAGTGCTATATGGAAGGCATTTTGGAATATAAATATATTGGGGTACAATATCTGCTTTGGGCACAAATGTGGCATAAATTGCATTCAACATTGTGCCCATTTTGTTAAATGTTTTATCCTGCAGAATTTCTGCTTATGCTCGTTTGCATGTTACCAAATGTAAATTCTGACACTAGCCAGTGTCTATCAGCAATATTAACAATGGAATTGAGTGAGCTTTAACTCATTGTAATTTAATACAGACTTGAAAGCTTATTTTCACAATATATATTTGCATACTCAAAGATACAATCACACACAATGTAACTCTAGGCTCTTAAGTCTAATTCTCCATGTAACCAAACTGTCTCCTGTGAACTGTAAAAAGACTGTTAATTACCTTTGGATAGTCTGATAAAAATTACATTAAACTGTATAAATCCTTTCTTTAATTCTGAATTCTTCTGCATCTTCAATTTTCATCACCTCACCACTGTCAAATATGCTTTCAGCTGCTTGAGCCCTAATCTCTGAAATTCCCTCTCTAAACCTCTCTGCTTCCTCTCCTCTTTTAGCACACTCTTCAAAACGTCTTTGAGCAGGTTTCTGGTCATCGAAACTAATATCTCTAAGTGGTTCAATGCCAGGTTTTGCCTAACAACTTGAGGGGGAGATGGTGGTGTAGTGATACATTGCCAGAGGCCCAGACAGAGATTTAAATTCCACCATGGTAGCCAGTGGAGTTTAAATTCAGTGAATAAAACTGGAATTAAAAGCCAGTCTTAGGGATAGTTCCATTAAACATCTTTGGTTGTCATAAAAATCCATCGGGTTCACTAATGTCCTTCAGGAAAGAGAATCTGCCATCCTTACCTGTTCTGACCTATGTGTGAAACCAGACCCAAAGCAATATGGTTGACGCTGAAATGGCCCAACAAACCATTCAGTTCAATGGCAACTGAGGATGAGCTACAAACAGTAGCAGCGCCACCAACATTCGTATCCCTTGAAAGGATGAGGCACCTCCTCAGAATGTTGTATTACTGAAAAGACACGTTTGCTTCTGCTGACATGTTTTGCTTCGTATCGTGCATTTGTTAATGTAAATATATACAAGGAGTTAAAATATTTCTTGGTGTTGGCATCAATGTTTTGTCCGTGCCATTTAAAATACATTCAGGAAATGCAAAATATAGCTGAAGAAATATTAATAGGTACAATAATAATAATAATACAGTAATTATTTCTTCTACTTACAGAATTCTACAAGTGCATGCAAAAAAATTAAAGGTTTCTAAAGTACACTTGTTTGTGACAGAAAGCACTTTGGTATTCATTCCTGAATCCGTTGTGTGACATAATTGTATATGTAATTAAATATCAGAAAGATCAGCTGTGTGCCACCTCCATTAATGCTTCTTTTATTATATATAATGTATATTTAGGTTTAGATTTTTAATTGTCACGTGTATTCAGGTCCAGGAGTACAGGACTACAGTGAAAAGTGCGCACTGTCGCCACATACAGCGCTATCTTAGGTACAACGGTACTTAGGTACCAAGTAATAAAAGAAACAAAGGTAAGAAAGTTAAGCATTACCTTCATAGAATAAGTGAAAAAATAAAGAAATAAGGTAATAATTAACACTAAAACCCTTCTTAATATAAAATAGAAAAATAATGGAATAAAGTTAAAAGTTCAACAGTCTTTGAGGAGTCCTCTGCTTAGCATGCTCTCCGGGAAACCTCAGCTGTCTGTTCTTGACATCACCACCACAGATACCAGCGGACCTACCTCACTGCTCACCCTTCCCACATTGGGCCACGATGCTATCCCTGGTGCTACTGCCACCTCCCGATCAGTCAGTGCAGTGACTCTTCTTTCCAGGTGACACCTATCAAACTACTGTCATCTTCAAAAGGTTGAGACTGGATTGTTTTACAGCCATGCCAAGAAGCTCAGTAGAAGCACTCTTGCTTCTGATTCAGTAGCTTATGGATTCCATCTCCACTCCTGAGACTTGAGCACAAATATCGAGATTGACACTCCAGTGCAGTACTGAGAAAATGCTGCAGTGCCCGAGGTGTCATGCTTCAGATGAGGCATTAAACTGATGTCCTGTCTGCCTCTCAAGTGGTGGGGAAACACCTCAAGATACCACACTTCATGGAGAGAGGCAGAGGAGTTCTCCCAGGCAGCTTGACCAATATTTGTCGCTCAACCAATGTCTGGTTATCAGGTTGTCAGTCATGGGACCTTGTTGTATGAAAATTGGCCATCATGTTTTCTTCATTCAGCCAGTGACTACATTTTAACAGATACTTCACTGGCTGTAAAACACTTTGTGATATTCTGTAATTTTGCAAGGCTTTATACAAATACCTTTTAATATTGCATCTAGGCTATCTGCATGTCAGACACTCCAGAAACTCTGAGGCTTTGAAAACAAAGTTGACTGATTCTAATGGCAAAATAAATCATCTAGGCATCTTTATCTAAATAAAGCCAATCTGCTGTCCCCACCCGGTCTGGCCTACATGTGAATCCAGATCCACAGCAGTGCAGTTGACTCTTAATTATCCTCTGTGCAATTAGGGAGCGGCAATAAATGCTGGAGCGGTGCCCATATCCAATGAATGAATTTTTAAAAAGTGCTTTTCAAATCTTTTCCCATCAGGACCTCATTTTGAGGCTTGGAAATTGCTGTGATCCTTAGTGAGAGGAGTGGGGAAGGGTATGTGGAAGAGAAGACCTATGGGATCGGGGGACCTGGAGTCAGTCATTGCTGCCTTGAAGCTCATGTGCCTATGGTTTCAGCTTCTTGTGGTGCACTGATCCCCACCACCTTGGGAAGCCCTATCTTAATCGCTAGTCTAAGCTCCTCTCACTCATAAAACTGTGGCACAAATAGGTAGACACAGCTAACAATCAATTGGGGTAAACTCATAATTTTCTGCTATGACAGGAGTTGCTAATTGGAACAAGCAGCACTTCCCCTTGGCATAGCTTCCCATTCAGTTATGGGATTACATTCAAAAATGGTAAGCTGTACCTGCTAATTCAGGGACAACTATCATTTCAAAAGTCAACACGCTCTTTTTAAGAAAGAAAAGTGATGTAAATTCTTTCTGCACCTGTCCCTTGGGTGTTCTTCTCCCTTCTAACCTCTAATTCAGGCTGACTTCTGTTTCATGAGCTTCAACATGGGTCATTTATGTTACCCAGGTGGCCATTCGGCCTTTGTGGGCCAACATGAAAACCATCCGCTTAACTGTGAGGTGGGTGACCTGAATAGAACCCCGTCCCATCCCTATCCAAAAGCCACAATTCCGGTAGGGGATGGTTCATCATCATCCAGGGCACTGGATGAATCCCTGACCAATGTCCTTTCATTATTCAAATAAAGACAAAATACTGCAGATGCTGGAAATTTGAAATAAAAACAAAGTGCTGGAGAAACTCAGCAGGTCTGACAGCATCTGGGAAGAGACAGAGAGAGAATTAAATCTCATATTCCAAGTTCAAAGACTCTTCTTCAGAGCTCCTTGGCTGATCCAGGCTTCACTTTCTCCCTGTTCCTAACAGCCAGCGTTGACCAAGTTATCCAGGAAATACCTAGGCAGTGTTCCTCAACTGACATGTCGAATCTTGAAGCTGAAACTGAGCTCCCATTAGATAACAAACATCATCTCAAAATACTTCAATAATTGTGTAATTCCAACAGTAACTTGTTAATTCACTTGGGCTGTTTCTTTCATGGGGATCAATAACTTACCTGAGCTATTTGACATGCCATGAGCACTCAATGATAGAATGGTTATTAAAAAAAAAATCAAGCTACAACATCAGCCTATTTTTAAATGCAGATAAGAGTTCAGCCCCTAAAAAAACTGCTTTTTTTTTTAAACTATCTATCACATCACATACTCTTACAGGTATAACTTCCAATGCAGTACAACAACATTGGAATAAGGACCTTATTGTTTGGATACATGTACTGACTTACTCAACCATTTTCCCCTTCATTCTGTGACTCACAATTGGAAGATTAGGCTAATCTTAATATTTCTTTTGCTCAAGCAGAGCATATCATCTGATTATTTATCTCACTGTTGTTTGACAAACCATGTATGTACTGATTGGGCTCTGTGGTTGCCTAGAAAACAGTATACATATTTTTAAAATATTTCATTGGCTGTGAAGTGCCTTGGGACTTGAGGACATGAGTACTACATTACTGAAAATCAGTCTTGAATGTGTCAATTGAGTCCACCATCACTGCTGTATATGGCAATCTGTTCCATTTGTTAATCCAAGGAAATGCTTCTTAAAAATATCCAAGCTGTGAATGTATGACTTACTTCATGTTTTCCTTAATGAGATCAGTTTCAGAACCAAGAAGGTTCTGCTCCAATACTTGTGATATCTGCTCTGCTATGACTCAGACACAAACTATCAACAAGGATGATATTCTCAGTGCGAAAACAACTTCACAACTTGGGTTGGTAGACTTCGAATTTACTGAATTACCAAAAAAGATAACTGAAATGAGACCCAGCTTGTTGCCGAGAGAAAAATATTTTATGCAGGAAGTAAAATCTTCTCTTTTACTTTGGTTAAAAACTTCATCAAGATGGACAAATGCTGAGGGGTGGTTTCTTGCTATTGTAAATGTTCCAATGAAATTCATCAGTGCTCCAAAGACTGAGTGATTATTTGTGCTTGACCAAACATTTCCTGGTCCTTTTATATATCCTACCTGTCACGCTCTTCTTTCATTCTCTCCAGCTCCTCCTCATTCAGGCCATCACTCTTGTGCTTAGATTTTTGCTCCTTCCCTTTCTCCTCCTTCTTTTTACCAAACCTGTTTAAAATGTAAAATGATCATCATCATTAAAAATCAATCTTAAAAAAAAAAATGCAGCTGCTAGATTTGTTGACAACACAAAGGTTAGAAAAGGGTAGAGAGGTGGAGAAATTATTGGGTGATTTGGCCTCAAATAGATAATTGCCCCCTTACCAATTAAGTCTGGGTAAAGTAGGTCAATTGAGGACCACCTCAACCAGACAACGGTTAAGGCTCTCAACATGCAACCTTACCAACTGCCTTCCTTCCAGGCAGGTGAGGGAAGTGGGTAAGTCGAGCACCCTGTCTGAAGAGTTACAGTGGCGGTGTGTGTGTGTGTGTTGGGGCAGGGTATGGTGGTGAGGGGGAGGTGGGGGGTGGTGGTGGTGGTGGTGTCAAGGCATTGGCTTCTGAAAGCTACCCCACTAATCCAGTCTCTGATTCCTTGACATCCTCACTACCTGGGAAGTGAAACAGAACAACGCGCCTTCTCGCTGTTGGATCCTTGAGGAGCAGGGCTTGTCTGATGGTCTTGAGGATTCTGAAGAGCCAGGACACTGCTGCCAAAGCCCTGAAATAGGCAGAGTTGCTCACCGAAGCTCACCAGTTGACTCTTAAGAAGCTGTTTGGTGCGCAGTCAGGTTTTCCCAGCATGGTGACAGCGAGTTAGTCAACACTCTCTCATGTTCCCATGCACACAGTCTCCAGCTGCCTCTTAGCTTTTCTGCCTGTTCACCCCAATGTTTCTCACCTCCTACAGTTTACAAATTACATTGAGATAAGGATCTGCACGTTGTGGCTCACACCTGATGCTGAAGGTACAGGGGTATCACAGTCAAGTTTCATCTTATCCCTACACAGCACAGCACATGGGCTTCCTTGAAGGTTTCCTGATTGTTAGGCTGGGACAGGAATTTTTCTCCATACCCCGAGCGCTCCAAGACATATTTGAGCACCTTCAGCACTGTACACTTGACTGAAGTTGACTAACTTAACACCAGCCAGGAATTAAACTATATCTCCCTCATCAACAAGCTAGTCACTTTCTTGAATTCCTGTGCGCGCTTATGGCTAAAACTTGTTTCAACTCATTTATCTGCAAATATATTGAGCTAAGATTCCCATAAATTCCTTTTCAGGCATTCACAGAAGCTCATCTTCCAGCAGGGATTCAATTAGCTGCCCAGCCCAGGAGCAGTGAAGCCAATAACACAATCTCCATTATCACCCTTGACGAAGACCAGCTAATTCAGCACTGGCTTGGAAATGAACTTGGTCTGCATCATACCACACAATGCATCAATGTTGCGAGCCCAACAGTGTGCAAGGTTCATTAGCTGTTTGACCTTGACATTGAGTGATGTTTTTGTTAGAACTATATTGTCATAGATCTTCTGGTGTTCAGACTGCATGTACTACTGTTCCCTTCCTGCCCTCCAAGATACTCACCAAGATCCCTCAGAAATCTTGATATAATGACTGTGTGAGAATTGCTCAGGAAGAGTCCAAAACCCTCCAAAAAGGTATCCAAATCTGAGTTTGAGTCAGAGACTTCCAAGCAATATGGCTTACTTACTGGGATTGTTACTCAAGAAATATTAGAGTGATTAAATTCAGTTCTAATTACTGGGTAACCAGACAACTTGCTCCCACCCAAGTCCGCCTCGACAGCCAACTTTCTGATAACTTATTCCAACCCAACCCAATCTGAACTGACCCCTATCCTACCCAACCAGCAACGAACCCTACATGCTTATACAGTGAGAAGTTCTGGGACGCTTAAACATTTTAGTTACCAAAAACACAGCAGCTAGTGCTACAGAAGGAGGCAGATTGTCAGCACTGCTCACTATATGAATTGCAGCACTGAGTTGGAACTGAAGAATTCTCTACAGCAAGATCACTCATAGCAGAGATAAACAAGTGTTTTTTTTAATCGTCTGAATTGGGTTGTAAATAGAGCTTCTGATCTTGATCAGAAGATCTGGGTCATTACATTCATAATATGCATCTAGTTTAGGATTATTAACAGTTAATGCGCAAGTTGAAGAATCCTTACTATGACCTTGACAGAGGAGGGCAACTAAGGACCATTGGAATACTGAGTAGATTAGTGCGTTAATGAACTCTCACGAACTTTCATGAGCCAGCATTGAAATGGGTTCGGTTGACAATCTGTAGCCATAGATAGATTATTTCAGATATTTCCAACAGGCTTTCAAACATATAATGCCGAGAGAAGTTATTTGCAACATACGCAACCTGGGAGTCAGTATCAAGCCAGTTACCTGCTGTGCCCCTGGATTGGGGGCAGGATTAGAAATCAGTGCCCAAATTTCTGTCCTTTTAGTGGAAGAATAATCAGAAAATATCCCGAATGGTAACGAGAACCTTTTCCTCTAATGCACTTTGAGCAACAGTTTAGTGGTCTTGTTAGCATCATTCAATCAACTGCATAACGGACCATTATACATGAGCCATGCACTGCTATCTATACGTTACCCTTGGCATTTCTGCACTGATTTTGAATAAAATTACTTTGGTGAGCAATGATGTGGATCAGGCAAAAGGCAATCATACTGTTACGTTCAGAATGAACACCACTTTTCACGCGACATTTTGATAAACATGGAACATAGCTGGAAGTGTCAGTAGATGACTCACTTACATTACAGATCTGAAGGAGTAACAATGTTAGCAGCGAGACTGGCTAATTGAATGCAGTGCATATGCTGAAGCAGATGATATGTTGCAGCCTAAAATCTCTCAGCTTCACACTGTCACTGTACAGTTATGCTGGGCATTAACAAAATTCATTTCAATGAATCTGTCAGTGTCTCTGCAGCTTTCAGCTAGACACAGGCAGCCAAAGTCTATCTGGCCAGATCTCCATTTACAATGTTTGCAAAACACAGCAATGCTCATTGATGGGGTGGATGACAACAATAAGATCAAGAACTCTGACCCAAGGCTTTTCTTTTAGACATGTATAGTTATCCCCCTCCTTGAAATTGGAGGTAATGTCCTGTCAATGTGGGCATTTGAATCCTATCACAGGAGGGAGGACAATGATGGATTCGCTCCCGGAAGAATTCATACAATCATACCACACAGGAAGCCATTCAGTAAATTGTATCTGTGCTAGCTCTCGGAAACAGTTATTCAATTAGTCCCATTCCCCTGTTCTTTTCCCGTGGTCCTGCAAAACGTTTCCTCTCGTGAATAATTCTCCTTTGAAACTAACAACTGAATCTGTTTGCAGACAGTATATTCCAGATCATGGAAATGCATAGCTAAAAAGAAATCTCCTTTCTGCTCTGCATTCTTTTAACTTAAATCTGAGTCCTCTGGTTACTGATCGTCATGCTGATGAAATGAGTTTCTTAAGTTTGATCGCCACTTCTGAATCTTCGCTGGAAACAAACCCAGCTTCTTTGCACAGCACAGCGCAGTCTCTCTCAATTTGATCTCAAAATAAAACAGTGTACTATGGTGTCCGAATGTACATCACTTGTACTAGAACACAGCAGCGAAGGCTAACCATGAGTCTGAAAAGCTTTGTTTTATTACTTGCGTACCTGTGTTAAACAAATGAACAATGTTGGCGCAACAAAGAAAAAAAACATGGTAAACCTCTCACATCGTTCCAAACACTGTTATATCTCCAATCACTCAACTGCAACAGGATACATGCTACATAGAAAAAAAGATATGCATACATATCACAGTGCAGATACATCACACTTTCCCATCTGCTTTCATTAACAAATTCCACATCAGCTCTTAACTACTAGTGAAGCTGAATTAATTTCATTAGTAGACGCAGCACATGGAACAGGTCTTAAAAGTTTTTAAAGAAACTGACGTTTCTCAGTGCAGTGAAATTATTACACAATTATGCAAAGTGAAAGCTAATTAGCAACACAATTTCACTGGCCGACAAAAGTGTCATTTTCACACTAAGAGGTGTTGCACCAGAGCATGTTCTAATGCATTATATTGCTGTTATCACATCAGTGAAAATAGAAAATTGTTGACTTTTTTTTTCCAAGACAAGATTCAAAATGCAAAATCTGACTGAATTACACATTAAAAGTGATAAACATTGGATCTCATTGCTGTGAACAATGTAGCCTCCTTTTTTTAGCTGGGGGGGGGATGAGCAGGAAGAGTTGTATAGATGATTCTTCTAAGAGAGCAGCTTTTTAGATTTGTTTTGATCACTGCACATGCACAGAGACTCCAAGGAACTAACTCATGCATGACCACTGTGGAAACGTTTTGGTTGCTGCATGGCTGTGCAATGGAGAGGGAACATTAACTGTGAGGGTTCTCTATCAGGTTAAGCAAATTCCATGCCCTTGGTCATGAGTGTACAGAATGCATTCAGTTTTGAGTAGTCATGTAAGTACTGTAGCAACAGGAAAATGGAAAGCTTGGAACTGGAATAGGCCAATCAGACCATCGGGTTTGCTTTGCTATTCAATATGATCATTGTGTTTCATCCACCTCAGTGTCACGTTACCACGACGTCTACATATTCCTCGACATCATTAGTCTCCAGAAATCTATCAAGCTCTGACTTGATGATGTTCAACAATTGAGCTCCCATATCCTCTGGGGTAGAAAGCTCCAAAGAGTCACCATCCTCTGACTGAAGAAATTCCTCATCTCAGTTTTACCCCTTATGCTGAGATTACGTCCCCTGGTTTTAAACTCACCAGCCGGGGGAAACATATTGTCTGCATCCACATTGTCATGCCTGGTGAGAATTTTGCATCTTCAGTGAGGTTATCCCTCACTCTTGGAAACTCCAGGGAATACAGACCCAGTCCCCTCAATCCCTCTTTGTAAAATAAAGTCACTATCACTGGCATTAATGTGAAGAACCTCTCTTGCATTCCCTTCACTCTCAGTATATCCCGCATTAGATAAGGAGACAACTGAACATTGTACCCGAGGTAAGGTTTCACTAAAGCTTTATACAACTGCAGCAGGTCATTTTTATTCCTTTTTAT